AAACAAAGTCTGTGGAAGATCTGTGAGGTTCCTTTTATTTCTGCAAAGTAATGAACATGCTAGTTGTACTTCCTTTTTCAAATTTCCACACACAGAATGAGAACAGCATTTCAAAAGAGGCTGATCAGTAGCAGGAGCCATTTCTGACTGTTACCTGCTGGACAAATGTGCATCATTTAATAAAGTACTCTGACTGACTGTGTCAACACACACTGAACAGTGAGGAGATATGGAAGCTGTGCTGGGATTGATGGTGATTCTACTGGGACTGTCTCATGGTGAGATATTCTTTGTACATGCGACACTTATCATTTAATACTTTAACCTGTACAAAATATCTGACATCGCCCTCAGAGATGTTAAAGCAGGACAAATACTTACACAAAGTTACAATATGTATACTTTGATTCATTTTATTAAATTAATGTACGAATCTGTTGGCTCCATCTGCAGTACGTGATCATTTGAGCAGAGCTTTAGTTCCTTTTTTTTTTGTCTTTTTTACCAGTTTTAGTAGCAGTGGTAAATTCTTAGCCCACTATGCACCTTGGCAGCCTTGTTGCAGTGTGTTTAAGTGAGTTCTGGCTTTTTAAAGGACTTTATTCTTTCCATCCTTATCAGAGACTTCAAGCTTATTTGTTACTTTGATGGACTGCCTGATTTTGAAGAATGTGTCTCAACTTATTGATTGGTTGTAACTAGGAATCCAGATCTTAAGTTATTTAAGTCATGCAGTCACTACTGATATGCTGAAGAACGTATTGGTTGCATTACTTTTTAATTTATAAGGCCACCTTCAGAAATGAACATCTCTGTCCTGTGCAGAGTCTTTTCTCTGAAATATGGGTTCCTGTTTTCTTTTTGACAAACAACAGATTATTTTATTCACATGAAAATACTTTAGTTTTTGTATTCGGCTAAAATGTGGAGAATGTGTCTACCTGTATTTCTTAATTATTAATATATTTGTAAATGTTGGACACATTTGTGTGATAACTTTGGGATTATAGATGCAGTATGTTTGTTCTTGAGGCTCTATAACCTACAATTTGCAAAACTGCTACCTACTCTGAGTTAGATATTAAGAGCTGACAGATTTATGGCAGTAGTGCTACTATAAATAATTTGATACCATTCAATTAAAACACTGGGTTATACAAAACATAATGTGGTATTAGGTATAAACATGGTAATACTAAAAATACTTTTTACTTTTTACTACAAGTAAACGTCCTCACATCAGTAAATTTTGGATTGCTGACAATGTTAATCAAATTTTTGTTGTAATTTATTAGGTAGAAACTAACAAATCACAAATGTTTTTCTTTTTTAATGTTTTAAAATTTGCAGGTGTGGAAACTTACTGTGATGGCAGACAGGATGGAGCTCAGTGTTATGGAGCTTTGGGAGGAACTGTGAACATCCAGCTGATGGACAGAACCTCAGAAATACCTATATACAAACTGTTAAAGAATTCATCAACAATACTAATTGTCAGAAATAATATTGTTCTTTATAATACCATAGCACACAGATCTCTCTTTTTTTTGAGTAATAGAACATTTAGGATCAATAACCTGAGCATTACAGACAGTGGAAAATATACCTTTCAAACCTTTGATTCAGATGGAAGATCATCAGAAATGTGGACTTTACAGTTGTTCATTCAAGGTAAATGTTGGGAAATGCAGCCTTTAACTGATGTAAATGCAGTATTGTTTTGGTAATCTTTATAACATACAGCACAGAATTTCACATACGTAAATTTTGTGCATCCCCTGTTTTGAATTAGCAAACCATAAATAATGATAATCTACATGATGCACACTACATTCACTAAAGTATTGGGCCACATCTCTTAATCTTTGAATTCTGATGTTTTCAGTTCCATTGACACAGATGTATGAAAACCAAGCAGCTAGCCATGCAGTCTGCTTCTACAAACATTTGTGAATTAATGAATAATTGTAAAGAGCTCACTGAAATTGTGTATGTTACTGTAACAGGATGCTACCTTTGCAGGAAGTCATTTTGAGATATGTCTTCCCTCTTAGATATTCCATAACCAACTGATAGTGTTGCAAAGTAGTAGATTTTAGGAACTATGGAAAATCAGCTACCAAGTTACAGACCATGTAAAGTTACATAGAAGGAAGCACAGTGCATGAAAGTGCATCTTGTTATAGTACCAAAAGTCA